TACGTAAGTCGGTTTCTTTAACTTTTTTTTTTTTNTTTTTTTTTTTTTAATTTTCGAAACAGCCGATGCTTGTAACGTTCAAATTCGAGCTCGTTTCATTGTTACCCGAAGTCTGTTCTACGAGCGGCCCGAATTGCACATGGCTAGAATTTATGCTCGAAAATTCGCTTTCCGTCCCGGGATATTCGACACATGGAAAAATAACGTACGGATCTTATGATCGGTGCCATGACTGTCGCGATTGCATTGTCGCGGCTCGGTATATATCGCATTAACGGTATAATTTCGCGCGTAATTTTTATATATCTTTTGCACGGGGAATGGTTGGAAAATGGTGCACTCTCATAGCGTGGAAATTTTGCAAACGTAAACAATAATTAGAGCGTCGTGCTCGTTTCGTATTAAATAACATTATATCAAGAATAATATGAATCTAGTAGATTAGGCAATATTTTCTTTAATTCAGAGAAAAATATTTATCCGTTTTCCTAGAAAGAGCAAAAATTTTTCTTCGAGATTTCAAGATCTCTCTCATTTATTGCTGTAATTTTTTCCCTATTTATTGATTATTAAAAAAAAAAGATTATATATATATAAAATATATAAAGATTTTAATATCGATAATAAAATCTATTGTTTATCGGTATATAACAATTATCTCTTACAAATATAATACAACGATAAATTCTCTTTCATTCTTGCTAATATATCTCGAAGATTATACACGAATGAAAAAAAGAAAAAAAAAACTCAAAAATTAATTATTCGTCCAAATCCATTTCATGATAAATTAACGACAAGATGCTGAAATAAAATAAACGAGAAGTTGGGGGAAGAATGTAAACGAAAAAAAAGTGGAAAAAAAAAAAATAAAGAAGAAAAAAAAGAGGAGCATCAAAGAGCATGAATTGGCAGCGAATCGACGCGAGCAATTAAGTTCGAATTGATCGGGGAGCTAGGTAGTAGTATCGATTATGTAATCCTTTGCATTAGTTGTTGACGTTCGAATATTTACCCTGCTCCTGCGCCCAATTGATAAGGGACGGTACACGGGCATCAAAACTGGAATAGCAGTTCTCGAAGCGTGCAGAGGAGTCCAGGCCAACAGTCTCGTAATTGGCTTTAACCCCGCAGAGTAATGCCGTCGCGCATGCTGACGACTCTCCGACTTGGGCATCCATGTTGTAAGTCTGGAAACGAACGAAAATGGAAGATGTAGTTTAATCACAGTCCCAGACATTCGCTCTGTTACGAGGGAGAGGATTATTGCTCGTAAAAAGGATGTAACCAAGGAAGGGAGCGTTCGATCCGTTCTTTCGATTCTCGATCGAAATGCATTTTGTCGGATTGATTAGATTTCGATTAGAGCGTGCCACGATAATTCGATCAACGAGATCATCTTTTTCTATCGTTGAATAGAAAGATTTCTCTCAAAAACATTATCAATTCGAAAAATTCTAGTCTTCGCGTTTCCACTTCGAATATTTCTTTTTTTTTCTTTTTTTTTTTTTTTTTATTATTTTTATATTTTGCATTCCTTCCCCATGAAAATCTGATCATCATTTGTTGACAAACTGTACAAAGTGCGAATTTGGATTAAAATAAAATTTGGTTATTTCCTTTTATTATAAATATCTATCTTTAAAAGTAAATGTTTATGTTTCGTTAAAATTCAGTATCTTATCTCTTATCTTTTGAAATTGATATATATATATATATATATATAGATATGATATATATATATATATATGATCGTGCATGCTTTACTGAGTTTTACTGATAACGGTGACGACTGCAGTAACCATATTCGATGATAAAGTGTGAAAAACGGTTTGAAAAATGCAAGTATTAACTCAATTAAAGCAGAATATTTTAGGAAAACCGAATATCGCAGAACTATGTTCGCCACTTCACGTTATAAAATCATCTGACATGAAAGAATACGACGAAGTAGACAGTGCAATAATCAAACTGACGTGAGTAAATATTTTCGACAAAATTAATAATCGATTTCATCAAAAGGTATCGATCGACCCTTTCCTTCGATTCTCGTCATTCGATCAACATCGAAATAATCGGCGACAGTCAATTTTCAACGTTCGATTTTCCATTTGCGCGAGTGAAAAACCTCTCGGTATAACGGTGAAACGATTGAAAAGTAGAAAAAGCTCTCTTCCAGTTGACACGCACGAGCGGGAACGTATATCCACACTCTGAGCGAGTTCAGATATCGATAACCTTTGAGTGTTGGTGTGTGACTCGAACCGAGGCGTCAATGGCGCGATGAACGAAGGAACGTAAAAATTCGTGATTATCATCATAAAGTTCGCGGCTCTCTCTTATCTTATATCTCGCCTATGAAAATGAGATACACGAAATGCACGCATATTTACGAGAGATTAACATTTCTATGGTGAAATTAATTTTAACGAACGCGTCCGAAATGTTGAAGATCGCGTTCTCTGATCTAAGATGTCATTTGCCTCTTGAATTTAATTTTTACAATTTTAATCGGCAGACGTTCGAGAGAAAATATCGGAGTGCGCGAATCGAGGTTTACACGTGTACGTAAAAATCGTGACATTTTGAAGATAACGGGTATATCAGGAGATTTTATCAAGGTAAATACTTACAGCATTATCGATTTTCCTTTTTAAATATATAACACTTCATCGATTTATTGCCGAGCGAGCGATAAAAGATACAATTAAAAATGAAATTTCCTCCTCCTTCTTCGATATTCATCTCGTATAAAGAAACTCGGTATAAACAGAGATGCGGAGATTCTGAAATTTCGTTCGCTCGAACGGGCAGCTGCATAAAATTCCCAAAGAGGCTCTGCTAAATCGGATGAGCCTCTCGTTAAATTAACCAACTTACCCTTTCAAAACCCCGATTGGGGTGGAAAGGGAAAAGTTTCGGTTAAAACGAAATCGGCGCTCATTCCCTCTTACATTCCAATTGATCAGGATCGTTATAATCGTTGGTCGGGGATTTATATCCGGCGTGTCAGTAAGAGAGTCGATAAAGTAGGATTAGCAGTGGGTGCAAATTGTTTTCAAATTCAAAGGAAACGCGACGAACCGCTATAATGGTCGCGTCTCTCTCGAATGAACGTTTGTTCGGTAATGGGCTCGCATTTATGACTAGTTTGTAAGCGCGAACAAGCTTTGCGCCCGTCGTAAAACCGCGTCTACACTCGCCATTCGGGAAAAAGAGTTTCTTTCAACTGTTGGGAGAAATCTCGAACTGTTTAAAAAGCACGATCCGGCATCGTCGCGCTTCCCTCTTCATCGTCCGTCCTTTTGTCCGCCACCGCTTTTTTCACATCCGCTTTGCTCGCTGAACGATGGCGCGGATCGCTTTTACACCCAGAGCATTGACGAGTGTTTAATCGTATTGGTAAAAATCCTCGTTGGGGATTATTTATATAAGAGGATTTATATTTCCTTCGAATCGATGTTAAACGCTTAACAGTTTATCCGAGTACAATTCCTCGAATATAAATTCTATTCTTCTAAATGTGTTACGAAAAGTAAATACGTTGATACGAGCGATCAAGTAAAAATGATTCATATCCGAGATAAATAAGATAAGTTGTACATCTTTCAATCTTGAAGTTCTTTGCATCGTGATACTAGCATTCGAGAAATAATAGATTTCATTAAGTTTTCACGATGATAATATACGCGATCGAATTACAAGGAGCTGTAGTAGGTTTATTATCAGAGTGCTATCTCCTATTTTGGAAATCGAGTCTGATCGATTTGGAATATAACTAAGAATTCGGGGAAAATGTTGTAACGTTGACTCATAATATCTCGATAACGTTTCCTTTTCGATTCATCATTGAGCTTTATAAATTAAGAGAGTCGTTTCAAGTTCAAGTTAGTTGCAATACGTAAATACGTAATAACATAATTTATAATGAGTTTACGATAACTCTTTGATCCCAATACGCGTACGTTATAAGAGCTCCTTAATTGTTGTGACAAGTACTTTATACACTTGTAAAGTTTGATGTATTGCGTAAGCAGTTTATGATACGATAGAATATTAAACGTACCAAGAATTAAGTAAATTATCGAGGAAATTCCCACACCACTCTTTCCCTTGTGTAATCGAATTTGCGTTTGGAACGAATAATTTTCAAAAGAAAAATCTAAAATTGTAAAAAAAAAAAATAATAATAACTTTATACGATTTGAATTCACAAGATGATTCAATTTTCACAAGATTGACAGCATAATGCAATATTAAATAGAAAAGAAACTAGAATAGTATTCGTTCCTTTTTAGAACCATTCCCCAAAATTCATTGCATGCACGTTCGAATTGCTAGTTACGAGAACTTTATCTCAAGTACACGTTGCACTCCCTTTAAGAGGATTCAGCCGTACATAGACGATCAGCCACACCGACGCGTACACACGTATACGCACTCAATTCGAACAAAGCCTTTGACGCATGCACGCACGCATTCACAGAGTTCTAACTTCCAAATAATACAACCGCGCTTCCCTCTTAAGCTACGCTGTTACCTCTCTAAATTATTAACTCACGATTTCCGGCTACGATCATAATTGCTAAAAACAAAAGACAAGAATTCTTATGAAAAATTTATCTCGCCCAAGAAAAACGATCCCATCCTTTCAACTGGATGGAAAAAAAAATTTCGCGCCAATAATATTCTCCTTATATTGGATCACAACGTGTTATTCGTTGGCGCGAAAATGGCCATCCGGCCTCGTTCGATCTCTGTCGTACACGCGTTTACAAGAGCGACGTGGAGGGGGGAACCGTTACCGCGAGTTCTTTAACCCGAGATTACGATCCAAGTTGAAATTAAATGGAGCGTCGGATCGCCCCCCACCCCTCGAGACGCTGTTCGCAAGATTTTCCGTTCGCGGCGTACGTGAGCGGAAACTGCGAAACAGCGTGGTGCAGTTGGAGAGGAGGCCCTCGCGACGGATTATACGAGATCGTGGCTTTTCGTTCGGGGAGGCGCGCAAACTTGCCATTCGAGTCGAAGAATTAGAAGCTCGAACAAGTGTGTGCTCTAAAACTTTGTTCCCTGAACGTTTCTTCTTCTTCGAAAATATCAAGTTTAGATTAAATTTAAGTTCAAAAATCTCGAACGAAGTTACTTGGAGCGATCGCTTATTGAAATAACATTTGTTCCCGTAACGCTTGATTCCAATCCTTGATAAAAATCCAAGTAACCCTTCGTCCCTTTGAATCTTCAACTATTCAATTTTTTTCATTGTCGAAACGAGGAATGGAGAAGTGAAGGAACAATAGCGAGCTACTAATATTTTAATTCGTCGCATGGCGGACGAGGGGCTCACCCTTTCCACCCATCCTCCTCTTCCGAAATTTTACGAGGGGCGTAAAAAGCGTCGACACCGAAACTGCGTACACGCGGTTTTCGTTTCGGTTTTCGTCTTCGTTGTTTATTCTCCCCTCTTTTCTCTTCTTTTTTTTTTCTCGCTCTTTCCCATTTCTCCAGCCACCATCCCGCGTATCGATCGGCCGGATCGTGTCCGGAAACAGAGCGAAATTTCGGCGGCGGGCCGAAAAATATATCGCTCGAGTTATATTGCGAGATCCTGCTGCGAATTCACGAGCGTTGTACAATGGAATCGTAAAAAACGCGGAATGGGGAAGAAGGGGTTTTGCGCGAGATGTAATTCGGCGTGTAATTGATCCTGCATTAGATAGATTGGAATCGAGCGCGAATACGAAAAGGACGAATCGCCGAATATCGAGTTTACATTTTGGAGATATGAACCTCCCCTCCCCCGATTAAACACCGCCGGTTCAACGAAACGAAACGAGGGACTGTGTCGAAGCTATAATCTCGGGCGGATAAATTGTTTTCCCGCGAATCCTCCGCGTTGAAATATGTACCGCCGCGGAGGAAAATTTGAAAAAGGTGAGTTATGCATACGATAATTGGGAAAAATGTGAATTCGATCTTTAGAATTGAGACTTTTATCATCTCAAAAATTTATCATCCCAGTTTTAATCACGTTATTGCTGTTATTATTATTATTATTATTATTATTATTATTATTATTATTATTATTATTATTATTATTATTATTTAATAGCTTTTATCGGCACAAATTGATTAATTCAACTGGATGTTTTGACACAGATACAAAAAGACAAAGTGCGAGGATCAAGAT